TGGGTGCTCACCCCAACTACGACGAGGAGGAGGAGGAGCACAAGTTCTTCCGCCGCAAGCGCCTCGGGGTCATCAAGAACGTGTTGGCCGCCAGCCTGGCCGGGACCCTCACCTATGGGGTGTACCTGGGTATGGTCCTGCTGCTCCCCAGGGACCCCCAGTGTGGTTTTGGGGGGTCAAGGTGAGGGGTGACAGGCTCTGGACCCCCCTCCCCCAGGCCTGCTGCAGATGCAGCTGATCCTGCACTACGACGAGACGTACCGGGAGGTGAAGTACAGCAACATCCAACTGGAGGACATCGACCGCAAGGTGCTGATGGGCATCAACGTCACCCCCATCGCGGCGCTGCTCTATACACCCGTGCTCATCAGGTACAGCGCTCTCCACGCTGCCCAGCGGCATTCCCAATGGGAATCCATGCTTCCCTCTCCAATCCCTGGCAGGTTTTTTGGCATCAAGTGGGCCATGTTCCTCGCAGTGGGTATCTACGCCTTCTTCGTCTCCAGCAACTACTGGGAGCGCTACTACACGTTGGTGCCCTCAGCCGTGGCCATTGGGGTGGCCATCGTGCCCCTCTGGGCTTCCATGGGCAACTACATCACCAGGTAGGCAGCGGTGGGGTGGGTTTGGGGGTCTGGGTGGCACCAACTGACCCATCACGCCGTGTAGGATGGCCCAGAAGTACTACGAGCACGTCAACTACAAGGAGGAGCACGTGCAGAAGCAGCAGCGGGCACCACGAGGGGCCAGCGATGCCTACATCATCATCTTCCAGACCATCTTCTACGCCTGTTTCCATGTGAGTGTTGGCACAGGGAATGGGATGTGGTGGGCACCGTGGTGCTGAGCATCTCCTGCTCTCCATGTTGCAGTTGAGCTTCGTCTGCGCTCAGATGCCCATGCTCTTCTTCCTCAACAACTACCTCTACCAGCTCAACCACACGCTCTTTGGGGTCAAGCACTGCGGTGAGGACAGGGTGGTGAGGTGGGGTGGCATGGGGACCTCCTGATGGGGATGAGCCATGGTGTGTGCCCCCCCGGCAGGGACCCTGAGCCATGGCATGCTGCCTGGCTTCAACACCACGGTGCTGCAGAGCCTGCCCCGGAGCATCAACCTCATCGTGGTGGAGAGCGTGCTGATGGCGGCCGCCTTCCTCGCCATGCTGGTGGTGAGTGAGTGCTGGGGTGGGCAGGGACAGGGCACCAGCAGGGCCAACATCACCCCCATGGAACCGTGGAATCAACCAGGTTGGGA